AAGTTAAATGGCTTGTGAAAGCAAACAGTCCAGGAGAGAGCTTCAGGCTATAAAGCAAACAGTCCAGGAGAGAGCTTCAGGCTAGTGGGACCGGATCTCCACAAGACCTTAGGCTAGGTCTCGGAGTTGTGAGGCATCTAATCTCAAATAAAGATAAAAGCACTCTTTCTCAACAACTGTGCAAGGTTCCTGGAACAAACCTGACCAGCTGCAGTCATAGGAGCCCAGCCCCAGCTAAGCAGTTAGCAGAGGGAATGTTTTGCTCTGATTGGCCAGGTCTGGTCATGTGTTCACCCAGTGGGGCGGGGTTGCGTCAGCCCCAATGCAACCTCATTGGCTCAGCAGAATTACTCTGACAGGGAAGAGACAGAGGTACCCTACCCCTACCAGATCTCAAGGATGAGCTGTTAGACACAACCTCAGTCCCTCCTTTCTGAGGCTTGGGTCTGAGCGCCACACCTGCGGCCAGACACCTCCCCCATATCACAATTTTTTAAAAGAGAATCTAAGGAACCTGCCACGGACACATGGCACAGGCTAAGATTCCAGGCAAGACCGGCTTTCTCCTCCACCCTTCTCTAAACCAAATCTGCACCAGAAAACTGGCCTCATTCCCAGACTCCGGGATTCTTTCTCAGAGTGAGCTGCTTCCTACAGAGGGCTTGGCGTCCATGGGGCAACACTGCTGGGGAGAGCTGGCTGTAAAGGGTCCGCGGAAGAAAATGAGAGGTGGGAAAGAGGCTTAGGCTTCCCTTTAACAACGGTGGGGCACCTGGCTCGCAGCGGTTCACGATCCTACTTTGAATCAGACAATGCATCTACAAAAAGATGTCAAGAATACAGATAAAAGTGGATGGGCAACACACCCTGGGTGCTGACATTAAGACATCATGCGGGGAGGGGACAGGGGACGCCCCTCTGCCTCTCAGAGACCCTTACACACGCCACAGCGCCCTTACACACGCCACAGCGCCCCGCAGAGCGGCCACGCATAAACACGGAACAAAGACTGCACCAAAGAAGAAACGGACACATTTCCAAGTGGAGGAAATCGGGTTGTTAGTTTTCGGCTTTGCATTCTGGTCTTGGTTTCAGAGTACTCTGCAAAGAATGTAGAATCCTTATGGTGCAAAAGCAACACCCTCGCCACCCTGTGTGACCTGGGAGTCCCTTCTGCAAGACTGCACAGATCCCTGAGCCTGTCCCCACCTCCGCGGCAATGCTCCCTGACTCCATGCACACTGCAGGGCTGGGGGAGGAGGTAAGGGCAGCCCAGACCTGCAGCCTCCCACCCTCTCCCCACGGCTCCTTTCTGCTGCCTTCTGACCCTGCACTCTACTTCTGTGTCACCTTACTGAGCAATGATTTGCTTCAGGAAGATTTCCTCCAGCAGTGTGGGGGTGGGGACAACAGACACAAGAAAGGAAGTGCAGACCTAGGAGCTACAGTCGAAGGGAAGACACACCAGTTTGGGGTTTGCGCCCCCTTCTTCCCTTTCAAGCAACTCTCCCCAGCCTGGTCTGCTGGCTTGGGTAGGGGCTGCCTACCCAGGGACAGGCACATGCTCCAGACTGGTTTAAGGACTGGCACATGACCACAGACAGGCCAAGAACGGAGTTACTGAAAAGGGGCTTGCTGTCTCCCCAGCAGGAAGGCTCAGCTATGGGGCTCGAAGCAACAGCAGTTACTGAAGAAGGAAGGAAGAAGTGGCAGGCCCTGCGGGGGGGGGGGGGGGGGGGCACACACTGTCAGAGACAGGAAGAGGTCGGGGAAGCCAGGGAAGGCAGCTGGTGTGCTGTCCATTCTGGAGTCCACTAGGGGAGGTGGAGAGGACAGCTAAGGGAGGGGACAAGGGCCTGGGGGCTTCAGAGCAGCAGGCCACTGCTAGAGGAGGGGCTGAGGGAACTAGAGGAGCCCGCTGTGCGGTTCACCACGGAGGCCCCAGGTGCTGCCTCCCGGCAGATCACCGCACTTCAGGCGAAGATGAATGGACACTGGAGCCCCCTTAGGCAGACGCCTTTCTTTTCAGGCAGGAACCTGGGCCTTCCCCCACATCATCACTGAGCAAACATCCTGCAAATCAGCAAACAAGCCCACTGGAGCCAAGACCCTGAGCTGCTTCCTTAGAGTCCTGAGAGTATGGGCCCACCTAGGTTCAAGTCCCAGCTCAGCCACTTCCTAAGCTGTGTGATTATAACACTTAGCCTCTTCTCTGGGCCTCACTTTCCACACCAGTAGGAGGGACCCCTCCCAGTTGGTTTTGAGGCGTCACTGATGTAAGCCAGGTCCTGCGCGGTGGCAGGTGTACCGCAGGTGCGGTGCTCTGAGCCCCCAGTCCCAGGAGTGTGAGGACACAGCAGGGGGAGAAGCAGAGCAGATGTCTCCTGTGCATTTGTCACCAGATGGCTGGAGGACAGAAAGCAGACTTCGCTGAAGCGGATGAGCCTTCCCATCCCACGGCCCATTCACAAGGACCAACAAACAGCAGACAGAGCATTTTTAGTCCCCATGCCCTGCCAGACACTCCCTATTCCTGACCCCAAGAATAGTGAGCAGGGGCTGAGCAGAAAGCCACAGCCTTGGCCGCAGGGAAGAAACCACCTCCCGGCAGGCTGCTCTCTCTGTATTGGTCACTCTGTCCCCTAAGTGGAGCAAACAATAGCCTTAGAGGCCTAACACCGTCCACTGGAGGAGGGACAGCGAGTGATCCATGGCAGGAAAGAGCTGGACCTGGGAGGAGGAAAGCTGGCAGCCCTGACCCTAGCCACAGAAGTTAGGAGCATGCACTTGTCGGGTTCACTAACACGGTCCCACCAGCGGCGGGAGGACTCTGGCTCACACAGGCCTGAGGCAGGGGCTGCAGGACAGTCCGGTCCTGCCAAGTCCACAAGGCAGCCGGGTGGCTTCAACACTGAGGTGTTATAGTACTTTATGCTTCTGGTAGTTTAGGCCAATTATTTACAAAAGCAATGAATGAATGTCTAGAGGCAACTCCCAGGGTCAAAGTTTAGTCAGGGGAACATTTCTTTCTCTCTCTCTCTCTCTCTCTCACACACACACACACACACACACACACACAAATCCTAACACCGCCTAGCATAGAGTCCACATTTTATAAATAGCCTTTGAGCAGAACTAAATGTATACTATGGTTCCATTTAAAAAGCAGTTAAGGCCCGGTACTGGTGGCTCATCCCTGTTATCCTAGCTACTCAGCAGGCTGAGAGCTGAGGACTGTGGTTCAAAGGTAGCCAGGGCATGAAAGCTCATGAGACTCTAATCTCCAACTAATCACCCAAAAGCTGGATGTGAAGCTATTATGGGTCAAGCAGTAGGGCACCAGCCTTGAGTGAAAAAGCCAAGAGACACTGCCCAAGCCTTGAGTTCAAGCTCCAGTAGCAGCACAGCGGGGGTGGGGATGGGGGGTAAAGAAGCCACAATGGCCAGGCACTTGTGGCTCATGCCTGTCATCCCAGCTACTCAGGAGGCTGAGATATGAGGATCGCAGTTCAAAGCCTGAGCAGGAAAGTCTGTGAGACTCTTATCTCCAATTAACCAGCAGAAAACCAGAAGTGACACTGTGGCTCAAGTGGTAGAGTGTCTTGAGCTGAAGAGCCCAGGGACAGCACCCAGACCAAGTTGAAGCCCCACCACCAACCAAAAAAAAAAAAAAAAAAAAGCTACATGGTCTCAGCATAATTTTGTACTTCACAAACAACACTGAGGTTCACACAGGTACCGTGCTCAGCATTTTCAACCTTTGTGGCTCAAGGAGATTCCCTCGAGGAAACCAACATCTCAGAGGGCAAGTCACGTGCTCAATCCAACCGGCTAGGAAGTGGCCTCTCTAGGGTCCAAACTCACACCATCTGCTCAGAGACCACGCCCCAGCCTCCAGGCTACCCGCCTTTGTCTGAGTTTGTTCCCAAGCTGAAGACTAGAAAGTGTGTAAGTGTGTGTTGGGGGGAGGGAGGGTGGGCAGGGGGAGGGACTGGGATTGGAAGTCTCTAATCTTCTTAAAGGATTTTGTTTGAATGTCAGTTTAACACAGGGTCTGCTAAGTAGCCTAGGCTAGCCTTAAACTTGGAATGGAGCTCAAGCTGGCCTTGAATTAATGATCCTCAAGCCTCAGTCTCCTGAGCACTGGGATCACAGTCCTTTCATGGTCTGCACAATACAGGAAGTGCAAAGCACACCCAAATCTTAAGTGCCTGACTTGATGACCACGTACCTAAGTACACACCCTGCCACAAGACCCCACCCCACTCCTGCTACCAGCCCCAAAGGAGGAGTTATTCTGACTTCACACCATAGACTGGTTTGCCTTTCGTAGAATTTCACATGAATGGAATCAGGAGCACACCCTGTTTTGTATCTGGTTCGTGTGTGCGCGCGCAGGTGCACACGTGTTTGTGTGTGTGTGTGTGTGTGTGTGTGTGTGTGTGTGTGTGTGTGTGTGTGTGTGTGTGTGTGTGTGTGTGTGTGTGTACTGGGGCTTGAACTCAGGGCCTGGGCCCTATCCCAGAGATTTTTCTGCACTCTCTACCACGAGAGCCTCTGCTCCACTTCCGGGTTCGATTGCGAGGGTTAGTTATTTGCTTTGCGGTTCATTGGAGTCTTTTAAGAGTCTAACCACAGACGCTCCTGCCCGGGCTGGCTTTGAACCGCGATCCTCAGACCTCAGCCTCCCGAGCAGCTAGGATGACAGGCGTGGCAAGGCCGTGACCCTGGGAGCAGCGGGGCCGCGGCCGGCCCCTCCGCCTCCCTCCGCCAGGCAGTCCCGGTTTGGCCCCGCACCTCTGCGGGGAGGGGTGCGTTTACAGGGTGGGTGAGGGTGAGCACTGGAGGGAGCAGCAGCCTGCGTTGAGGCTGGGAAGCTCAGCGAGGGAACCGCAGGGGCGACGCTCCTGCGTGCCGGGCGGGCGCGGGGCGCGGGCGCGGGCGCGGGGCGCGGGGCGCGGGCGCGGGCGCGGGGCGGGCGGCGCGGGGCGGCCCCGTACCTGTGCACTGTTGGACGAAGCGCTGGTACTCCTCTCCCTGCTCTCCGGGGACGATGGTGGCGCCGTCATATTTAAAAGTCACCCTTTGCGTTGGAAGGAGAAAAAGCAACACACACGCGTCAGCGCGGGCGGCGGCGCGGGGCGCGGGGCTCGGCCGCCCGCCGGCTGCGCGCCGTCCGTCCGTCCGTCCGTCCGGAGGATGCGGAGACCGCCAGCGGCGCCCCGACTCCGCCCCGCCCCAGGCCGGCCCAGCCCCCCCGGGCCCCGGCGAGCCCGGCGCGCCGACCGCGGGACGGTGCCTCACCAGATGACCGCCGAGCCGTCGTCCCGCACCAGGTTGTACGCAGCGCGGCAGGCCTCCTTGTCGATTTTGGTGGCCATGGCCGCGGGGCCGCAACGACGACGCTGCCCGGCGCGGACGAGCGCTCCCCGGGCCGGCGGCAAGGACGGGGCTGGCGGCGGCGGCGGCGGCGGCGGCGGCGGCGGCGGCGGCGGCGGCGGCGGCGGCGGCGGCGGGGACCGGACACGGCGGGCTGGGAGTGCGGTGGCGGCTGCGGCGGCACCCCGCGCGCGCGGGGACCCGGCCCGGGGCCCGCCACGCCCCTCCGCTGCCATTGGCCTCGCGGGCCGTCTCGAGCTCCGCCCACCACTCCCATTGGCTTCCCGGATGAGGGGGCGTGGCGTCCCGACTCCCCGGCGGCCAATCCCAGCCCGGGTGGATTGCGCAACTCCGCGGAGGGCGGGCTGGAGAAGGGGCTTTTCCCTCCTGCCCCCTCCCCTCCCCGCTCTTCTCTCCCCTCCCCTCTCTATTCTTTCCTCCCCGGGTTCTTGCTTATCGCCCCCCCTTCCACCCCTCCTCCCGTGCTGTCTTCTCTCTCTCCTCCACGCCTGTCCCCCCTCTCCTCTCTTCCCTCCCCGACCCCGCGTCCCCCCTCTGCTGCGGGCTGCCGAGCTCCCTGGGACCGCCCGGCCGGCCGCTGCCCGCACCCCAGGGTTGGTGGATGGCGAAGACTTGGAGAGAGCTGAGCGTGCTGAATAGGAGGGGTAGAAAGTGGACGCTTCCAGAACGCTGGCACCACCCCTGTCGCCGCTGTCCAGGTTATCGACATGCTCACCCCTCAAGCACGAGTGGACTCCTCCTGTCCGCTGGTTCCTTCAGTGGCCCGCACCGGCCCTCAGCCCGCCCTCCAGGAGGACAGTCTCCAAGGGACAGGATAAAGGCGGGGTCACCAGGCCTGGTGGATCGCATGGCCCGGCCACTGAGCAGCCTTCAAATTCCCCAGAGGATTTCCCTCCAGTGGGGGAGAGTAGCAAAACCAGTACCACCGGCACCCAGACTGCTTTTTGAAAGGGTGCCTGTAAGCAAATAGATGCTATGTAAAAAAAATGGCCATTGTGTCCCAGTGCTGTGGCTCCTGCCTGAGGCTGAGATTTGGGGGTCACCTTTACAAGCCAGCCTGGGCAGACAAACTGAGAGATTCTGATCTCCAATTAACTAGCAAAAGCCAGACCTGGAAATGTAGTTCACGTGGTAGAGCACTCACCTTGAACGGAAAAAGCCAAGCAAGGGTTCAAGGTCCTGAATTCAAGCCCCAGTACCAACACTCACACACACACACACACACACACACACACACACACACACGTCTTCTTCAAAGGGGAAAAAAATGCTACCTCATACAAGGTGTAAAAGTAAACAGCTAAATGTGATGGCCACCTATAATCCCAGCATTTTGGAGGCAGAAGCAGGAGATCTACTCAGGGAGACCCTTTCTCCAAAAACAAAAAACCCCCACAAAACCAGTGAAAAGTGTCCACCATTCAGGTCAAAAAGAATTAGTTCTGCAGACACATATGAGGTTAAGCTATAAAAAGGAAAATGGATTTAGGATGTGACCCGACAGATTAAATGGCTCTTTCACACATGAAAAGCTGGTAAATCTCACCTCTAAAACAGATGCAAACTCATGCAAGACTGACACACTGTAAAAGTTACTCTAGCAGGTTGGCAAAAAATGAAAGCGTTTGCTAAGTCTCCTTTCCAAGTTAATCTCTGAAGAGCCAGCCCCTCCCAGTTGTTGCTGGAGGGTAGAAGCTGACACAGCCTCCTCCCAAGACAATCTGCAACACTCAGCCACCACATCTGAAACCCGCCTGGCCTCCATGGATCAATTTTCTCTAGAGGTCAGCAGTGCCCAGTGCCGCCTGGATTGAGCACCGGGATTACTGGGGCTCCCAAGTCAGAGATTTCCAGGTAGCTGACCCAAGTGTGCTCTGGATGCTGGAGTTGCTTAAAGCCCAGTTGGTGGTGTCCTGGAGAGTTGGGCTCAGAGTCCCTGCTAGAGAAATCCCTGGGCTCAGCAAAGTACATGGAGGATTATGAGCTGTTTTATTTCCAGTAGCAGAATGGAAGTTCAGCAGTAACTGGCCACAACAGGAATGAGTGGGAACTCAAACTGACCCACCAAAAAGGACTGTACAGCTATGAAAGGAGGAAAGAATGAAGACCCTGTGAGCATGCTCACGTGGAATGTTCTAGTAAGCTACAGGGCCAGCAACAGAGAGCTTTATTCAGAACAGAGCTACCTTTGGGACAAATGGGGGGCGACCCAAAGAAATGTCAATCAATATTTGCACTTGTTGATGTGTGCATAAAAACCTGGGTTTAAAGGGCTCATCAGGAAACTAGCAGCTGTCCCTAGAGGAGGTCAAGCAGGAGCCAGGACCTGCCTACTGTGGACCTTTTAAATCTTAATACTTCATTTTATTTTCATTGCTGATCATGTGAATGCATGATTTATTTCTTAGTATTAGTGAGCATTAATATTAATAAATAATACTTAAGATTATTGTTTATTATTAGTGTTGATGGTCATTAATATTAATATGACAAAGATTAATGGCTTGATGGAGCAATTAGTTCATATTAAATGGCCACAAAAGAGTGGCTCCGTCCTGAGTTTTCCCCACGTCTGCATGATTCTGGCAAGAGGATCCAAGTGAACTAACCCAATTCCACCCAACCTTCCATGCACTACCCTTTCTCGTCTTTGTTGCGGGTGCCCTCTGCTGGACAGAATGTGAACAAGGGTTGCTTGGAAGGAACCTGATTTGTCTCAATCCACCCCCAGCTAAGGCAAACAAAAATCCTTATAAGGATTTGTTTCAATGGAGATGTACAGAACTTAGAAAGTAATCTATATTCATGTTTCTTGAAAAGAGAAACTGAAATAGTTAATAATATGGGCTAGCTACTGTGTTAAGAATCCCTGCTTTAGGCTGGGAAAGTGGCTCAGAGGTAGAATGCCTGCCTCGCATTCATGAGGCCCTGGTTTTGATTCCTCAGCACCACATAAGCAGAAAAAGCCAGAAGTGGCACTGTGGCTTAAGTGGTAGCACGCTAGCCTTGAGCTGAAGAGCTGAGGGATAGCACCCAGGCCCAGAGTTCAGGCCCCACAACTGACAAAATAAATAAATAAATAAATAAATAAAAATGCCTGCATTTCAGAGGCTGAGGCAGGATGTGAGTGTTTGAGGTCAGTTTGGGCTGAAGAGAGAGTTCCAGGCTAAGCCGGGTGCCAGTGGCTCACGCCAGTAAACCTAGCTACTCAGGATGCTGAGATCTGAGAATTATGGTTCAAAGTCAGCCCAGGTAGGAAAGTCCATGAGACTCTTATCTCCAATTAACAACCAGAAAACCGGAAGTGGTGCTGTGGCTCCAGTGGTAGAGCTCCAGTCTTGAGCTGAAGAGCTGAGGGACAGTGACCAGGTCCAGAGTTCAAGCTCCAACCAAAAAAAAAAAAAAAGCCCCAAGCCAGCCTTGAAAGTTACTCTAGTGCTATGCTATTGGTTGTAAGCAACAGAAAACCAAGGTTTACTGGACTGGACATAGAGAGGAAGCAAAGGCCAATGGCTGAAGAGTTCAGATCAAGGAGGAGTTGGGGCGTAGCTTAATCAAGGCCTTACCTCTCTCTACGTCTGCCCTTCTTTGGGCATCGCTTTGAACTTCAGGCAAATTCTCCCCTGGTGTGCAACACACTTTGCCCCTAGATCTGTAGAGCTGACTTGACAATAGGACCTCTCTTCCCCGCTCCCCTGCCCCAGCCTAAAAAATGCCAATCGTTTCCATTTAGTGGGGTTTTATTTTGTTTTGTTTTGCTTTTTGGAAGTCCTTGAATATGAACTCAGGACTTTGCTAGACAGGTACTCCACCATTTGAAGCATACCTCTAGCTCTGCATACAAGTTTTGACATTCTGAACCTTGGCTATCTGACCTCCAAGGGCTCGGCCTCTACCCCAAAAGGCCAAATTTGGAAGCCTGGCCACTGAGCCAGGCCGCTGAGCTCCACAGGCTCTGACACACCTCTGTGCTGCCTGCTTAAGAACATACCATTCTGTTTGCATGGACTCCATTCCTATGAGTCTGGTTTCCATGTTTTACCTTGGAGCAACAAATTTAAATGAAGAGAAGAGTCCCACCTCAATTGTGATGATGGCATTTGTGTCCTCAGCAAGGTGGTTGTTGCTGAAGCTGGTGACTTGCTCACAGACAGCTATATATAGAACAGGTTAGTTGAAGGTGCTGAGCTGCGGGATGAGGGAGCAAGAAAGGGCTGCCGGGGGCAGGGGGCTGTTTATGCCCAGAGAGAGGCAGAGATGGGCCCCGTGTGGGGGAGAGGTACCTCATCTGCAAGCTTCTGGCTCATAGCACTAGGCGATTGCCCTCACAGCTGCAGTTATAGTGGTGGGCTTGGTATCGGTATAAAGCAGCCCCTTGGTGAGGCAGTGAGCTCCCAGGGAAGGGCTGGGAATCCTCATTCCTGACTCAGTGACTCAGATTTGATCAGACATCCCAGGTTAGAGGTGTCTTAATATACTCATTCCTTCCAGTTCTTCAGCGATTCTTTGTTTTCCTGTGTGTGTGTTTGTTTGTTTATACAGTGCTTTGGATGAAACCCAGACCTCTTGCATGCTAGTCAAGTGCCCTAATTAATCTACACCTGCCACTATTTGACGGGTGGGGAGATGGAGGCTCAGCTGTTTCTACATCATCACACACAAGGAAGTCAGACACCTGGCTTCAGACCCAGGTGTCCTGATTGTGCTTTCTGTGATCTGTGTTATGCTATTGGCCCAATCTGATCAGTTTCTAGGCCAGATGTGATGGCTCACATCTGTAACCCTAGCTGCTTGGGGGGGGGGGCGGTGGAGAGGTGGACAGAGATTGGAGGATCATACTTCAAGGGCCAGCCTTGGGGGGAAAAATAGTGAGAGCCTATCTCAACAAATAAGCTGGGAATGATGGTTCACGCCTGGGCGAGGAGGGGAGTCAGGGAACTTACTGGCACATGGAAACAACCACCCACAGAAAGGTACAGGGAAAGCCAGGGATTCAGCAGCACCCCCCTCCCTCTCTCCCCTGTCTCGATCATCTCTCTCTGCTCCATTTCTCTGCGTTTTGGA